CTCCAAAGACAGATCTATTCTATTAAATTAGTACTAAGCATCTTTTTCTTCAAGAATTAAGCTGTCAAGTTTCCCTAAAAAACAAGTCAGTTTAGCATTCAAGTTACAAAAGCATCTTCAAATTATCTTTAGCAGCCTACAAGATTTAACCTTCTTTTAACAGCTAAGCTTTTTATATTCAGCAACTTCTCTAATTTCACAATTAGAGCTGAGGATTTAAATACAGAAGACAAAAGTACCTTTGATGAAGAGTTCCAAAAACTAACGGGAATGCAAAAATCCTAGAGTACAGCCAATCTCACTGAGTAGACACAGTAGCTCAAAAGTGAAAAGAAAAGGATGCTAACAGGATCTTCCTGAAGATCATTTTGATTACATACACTTCAAGCCTCAATCAAACCAAGGACTGTACTACAAAATGTCCCACAAATAGCAGTAACTAGCGCCATCATCACTCACAGGAAACTGCTTAGGAGCAAGATTCTTTACAAATTGTGAAAAGCAGGAAAAAAGTGAATGATCAGTGTGCCTTAAAAAAAAAAAAAAAAAAGAGGGGCACCTGGGTGGCTCAGTCTTTTAGGTGTCCCAACTCTTGATTTCAGCTCTGGTCACCATCTCAGGAACATGAGATCGAGCCCCACTGGGCATGGAGCCTGCTTAAGATTCTCTCTCTCTCCATCTCCCCCTGCTCCTCCCCACCTGCATGCTTGCTCTCTCAAAAAAAAAAAAGAGTACCACAAACCTACCTAAATTATCACTGTTGCAGATGCATTCTCAGTGCATTTAAAATGTTATCCAGGATTACCACTTACCATAATATAATTACTTTAACATGACATTAATACGTATTAACAGCCGCATGTTTTATTATATAAATATTCAGCACTTAAATGGAGGGGAAAAAAAGAGTACCACAAGCCAAGTTTCACCAGAAAAATACTCTTACCATTTTCAATTTAAAATGCTTTACCTGATTTGAAATGAAAACTTTGCAATAAGGGCTATAAGGCTCACTTCTTTTAAAAACCATCATACTTAAATGTTCATAGCATACTGTCACATGAAAAAGTCACAAAACAATAAATATGAAAGAATTCTTTTTAATATATATTACTGTATGCGCCTTAGTTCTCTTCCAAAAATAGGATACTGCCCTTGTTTATTCAAGGCCCTTACAACATCTAACAGGAAACTCTCTCTGTTACTTTAACTTGAACAAAGTAGGATAAGCAACTATCCTAATGTTACTCAACAGCTCAGTGGTCACAGGAGATCATTTTATATCTAGGCATATATGACATATGTATGTATGTTGCAGGTGTAATATGTATACCATGCATATGCAGAGAATATATATATACATACACATGCATAAAACATAGACTAATATATATGCACAGGAAAAAGTCTGAAAGATATAAATCCCAGATGAACAGTGATTACCTCTGGATGATATGAAATCTAACACTTAAATTTTCTATGTTGCTATTTAACTATTCTAACTTGTCTACAACAAATAAAGGCTAAAATTTTTATTTTTATATTCCACTGAACTGGTTTTAACAGCAGAACGCTCTCCTCATATGGTATACCTTTCAAGTTCTCTGCCATCTTCCTACAGTTGTTAACATTTCTAGCTACCCTGGCAAACTCGTTCTAAACAAAAGGATGTTAAACATGTGATTTCATATACATCAACTTTTAGATACTGCAAATCAAATTCCTTAAAGATTTACCTTCATCATACATTTCTTCTATTAAATAGGCCTCTGCTCGATCTTTCAGAGCATTCACATTGTCAGGTTCCATCTGTAAAACTTCAGAACATACTCGAATAGCTTCAACAGGCTTCTCATCCTACAATAAATAAATGTTGAGAAAAGGATTTTTGGTTGTTATTCCATATATTAAGTTTTTACATTTCTGGGAACCAATCAACTGTTACCTTAGAAAAGCAGTGGCAAATCCTTTCTTTTGAACGAATCGTATATTCAGAAACACTTGGCTCTGTTTTTATGACAGATTCATATTTGCTGGTTGCATCTGTGTATCTATGAATGAGCAGATCATGATGAGTACCTAGAGCTAAAGAAAGGACCCTCTACTCTTCACTATGTTAATCAATTCACCTGAATGAGCAGGTGCCTTCAAACACTATTTTTCCCTTATTAATCTACAGTGGCAAAGAAGGTACCTCTGCCAGGAAAAGTTGGGAGATAGAACACATGACCACAGAAAATATGTATGTTCAAATAAAAGCATACCTGTGAATACCAAACAAAGTGATGAATTTCTTTACAGAAAAATGCTCACAATTTTGAAACGGAGTAAACACCTTGTTAAAGTCTGACTCACACAAAGCATTTTCAGCAAAACAGAGATCAGGTTTTATTTCTTGGTCACTACACACCTTCACGAAATAACAGAGCCCATTAGCTACATGCCATTTTAAATAATGAATGTCAATATTCACAGCTAAGTATAATGTAGTTCCTTGCAGAATTCCCAGCTTTCTAAGAACAATAAAAGCTATTTCAGCATTTTAAAAAAAAACTAGTGAAAAGTATTAGTCATGTTATACACTAAGTTACTTTCCTTAGTAATGGCAAACTAAAAGATACTATTTTTATACCACTGTGGCACATTATTCCCAAAATGCATTACAATCTTCACATTTAAATGCTGATGTATTAAAACACAGACTTAAATATAACATTTAAAATGGAAGCTATCAATGTCAAAATCGTAGGTGAGATATTGTTCTGTAGTTTTCCAAGATGGTCCAACAACTGTAGGAAACTGTACAGAGAATACAAAACCTCACTTTACTTCTTACAACTACATCTGAAACTATAATTAGCTCCAAATAAAAAGTTCAACTAGAAAATAACTGCATTTCACTTACAAAAAAAAAAGTTAGCTTCTGAGAAAGTGAAATGGATGTACTTTCCCCAGTTCCTCCAACTAGGTACAATTAAATTAAAATACCCTAGACATTACATATTTGTAAAAATATGAAAAAACTCAGAAAGAGGAGAGAAGAAGGTAGACCATTTGAGGATGGCACATTTAGAGTGAATTAATCCCAAATGTTGTGTTCTTTTTAATGCTGATATGCTTTTATGTTTTATGCATACAAATCATAAAGTTATATAGATGATAATACAAATCTAATATACTTGTTAATTCTACACTGGGCACTTGTGTCGCTCTTTTTGACCTGTCTGGGCAGGTAGCTGTAGTTGCGGGGCTGGAAGCTTAGAGGTGGGGAGGAGAGAATTCTATGTTCACCATCAATATCTTGGTCAGACCTGAACTCTTGAGTCTCTTCACACAAAACTGGATAAGAAGACAGTTACGCCTGTTTAGAGTTAACTTCCAATATGCATACTTTGCTTAGAATTTGGGGGAAATTTTTTGAAAGATAATTGTCAAATTATTGGAAATTTGTTATAGTAATACTAGTATGACATTTTGTCATATAAAATTCGTATTTACCTCTTACATCTGTTAGAAACATTGTTGCACATAATTTGATTTATCTTGATTTTGTTTCACTAACTAAAACAATGGTAAAACTTGGGGAAAAAAAAAAAAAACCCCAACAGCTAGGGACCTTGGGACCTGAGGGAAACATAATATGGTAAACTTCCTGGATTTTTTTTTCTTCCTATACCCCAAATTTGGAGCTAAAGCAGCCAGCAACTCAGAAATGCCAACGGGTGCAGACAATAAAATCAAAAACCCACCAGGAGTCTGCTCTCTCAGGCCAAAAAACCTGGGAAGGGCAGCCTAGCAAGATGGCAACTTTGACAACAACAGCTCCACTCCAGCCGAACGCCACAGAAAGCGAGTAAAGCCCTGCCTCAACCAACGCCAGCCGGTCCGGTGGACAGCCCTGACTTCCTGCTGAGGCCGCGCCAAGGTGTGCCCCGCCCTGTACCGAGGTGGTGCACACAAGGCCAAGTGCGGAGCCAGGACTTTCATCCATGGCTACAAATAGCCCCCCAAACTCTCACCTGCTCCAAGCAGTAGTGAGAAGCCCCACACCTCAAGTATCAACAAAGGTCAAGTGGGAAACTTCTACCTCCCTGACAGTAACAACGCAATGCCCACCCCTGCTTCGCTGGAACAATGTCAGAAAAAAACAGCCAAAACAGAAGATTTAAATTAAAAAAAAGTCTTACAAAATCAAAGTGTCCAAGTTTCAATTAAAAACCACTCAGCATACCAAGAAACAAGAAGATCTCAAACTGAATGAGAACAGACACTTCCAACCCCCAAAGGACAGAGGTGTTAGAACTATCTGACAAAGATCTTAAAGCAGCCATGGAAATAGCAGCAGTGACAAACATGCTTAAAGCAAATGAAAGCAACAGACAGCCTTGGCAAAATAACAGAAGAGATACAAGAACAACCAAATGGAATCTGTTTATTAGAACTGAAAAACAGAAAAACCCAAATAAAAAGCTCATTGAATGTGCTTCAACGGTAGAACGGAGGTGACAGAGAAAAGAATCAGTGAATTGGAATGATAAAAAATGACCAAATCTGATCAGAAAGAAAATGAGCTGAGAAAAATGAATAGAGTCTCAGGGACATGAGGGGCTATAACAGAAGAGCTAACATTTATGTCAGTTGGAATCTAAGATGGAAAGGAGAGAAGACTGAAAAAGTACTCAAGAAATAATGACTGAAACTTCCCAAATTTGACAAGACATAAACCTACATATTCCAGAAGCTAAGTAAACTTCAAATAGGATAAAAACAAAGATATCCACACCTAGATACAACACAATTAAACTTCTGAGTACTCAAGACAAAGAAAAAAATCTTGAAAGCAGTCAGAGGAAAATGCCTTATTTTTAGGGAGAAGACCATTAGAATGACAATGGAAACCAAGGAGGTCACAAAGAAGAGGTACAATATTTTTCAGGGCTGTAACAAAAGGGCTGTTAGCCCAGAATCCTATACCACAAGAAAATCTCTATATACTCTGTATATATCTCTATCACTCTAGATACCACATTATCTTTTAATAATCAATTTATATGTCTGTCTCTCACCCTAATCTAGAAGCTTAAGACCAAAAACCACATCATATTCATTTCTACACCACTAGTACATTGTCAGTGCCTGACACAGGAGATAATAAATATTTGGTGAAATATAAAAAATCTGCTGGTAAGAATACTATGCAGTTACTATTATTTATATTCTGCCATATTAAAAAAATGTACAGTTGTAGTAATTTTGCCAAGGCCCAGTGCTTTCTAGGATATTCTATCCTCAATGGCTAACGAGTAAAAGAGCGAGCAGTTCAACTGTTCTTTTGTGCCCAGAAAAGACGTGTAAGGGAGGCTGTACAGCAAACGAGCGTACTCTTACCTGCCATCTCTGATGAGCTCTTCAGCTGACTCAATTAGCTTATTCAGTTTCTTTACTTGTTTATAGTGTGCAAAACACCTTTTATGATCCTGGTCAAGTTTAAGACATTCACGAACTTCGCTGCTCACGTATTTAAAAAGAGGAAAATACTCCAAGTCAAAATAATCAATGAGTAGTTTTCCATACCAAATACAGAAATCACAATAAAAGGTATTTTTTTGGTAACAATTAAACAAAACACACAGACCTAATAATCTACCATACATTTTACATATGGTATTGTCACACACACACGTATCAACTCAAATTAAAATGACTTAAATAGGTCATACATAAAACACCCCACTTTGCTTCTGCAAATACAGTATCTCTAGTTTCATAAGCACAGCTTGTGAAAATAAACTGTGGAAATACAATAACTTAGGGATTACACAAAATATATAAATGAAGAATGTAAAAACAGCCTTAACCACAGTTTTAACTTAAAATTAAAAAGAAAATGAGATTATTATCCTACGGCCAACAAGAAAAAGATGACAGGAGATGTGCATGTCACTGGAACTGACCTGAGGGACAGTTCATGGTCTCCTAGTTGATAGTACAGTGTGCTAATTTTATAAAAAGCCTCAGTATTATCATTCTTCAATTTTGATGCAGCTTTTAAGTCACTTATTGCTTTCCTAGGTTCCCCTTCTTTTATGAAACATTCAGCTCGAAGTTCCCGCAGTTCTGCATCCCAAACACAAACCTTGAGAAACAAGAGAACTAGACTTTAAGAAACAGTAAACTATGCACACTCATGCTTCCCTCCCACATATTTTGCCTACATACTTATCAACATGAAACCATCTTCAGGTAATGTGATTTCTACCTCGTAAATAGTATTAAAAAGTCTGATACAATTTAGATGTGACAAAATAATTTCTCCAAGGATATCTTAAATAAAGTCTAAGAGGGAAGGAATATCCCATATATACTAACGAGGCCCCTTTCCTCCTTCCTTCAATTATATAATCTTAAAACTTTGAAAATAAGAATACATGGCATTACTATTAAAAGGCTGTTCCCAGTTAAGCATATCTGATTTTGAAAAGAATATTCCATAATCAGATTTTTGTACTTAATCAACAATTCTAATTTCTAGTCTCAAAAAAATAAAATCTAGGTTCTACATCTGCAAAATATTTCTGTTCTACTAATAACTAAATAGAATTCTTTTATAAATTGTTGTCTCTTTGAAATCAAATCCTCATATCACAAAAAGAAAGAAAAGAGGAAAACAATGTGGGAAGGCTGAGGCTTCACCATTTCTACTTTATCAAAAAGTCAACAAAGTTCATAAATGGACTAGTATTCTTTAAAACTTAAGCCCAGGGGCACCTGGGTGGCTCAGTCATTAAGCGTCTGCCTTCGGCTCAGGTCATGATCCCAGGGTCCTGGGATCGAGCCCCGCCATCACGCTCCCCGCTCAGCGGGAAGCCTGCTTCTCCCTTTCCCACCTCCCCGCTTGTGTTCCCTCTCTAGCTGTGTCTCTCTCTGTCAAATAAATAAATCTTTAAAAAAAAATTTGTTTTAATAAATAAATAAATAAAACTTAAACCCAAAAGTCCACCAATAAAGCCTGTATCTTTTAACTATTTCTCAGAGCTGTTCTTTCTAAAGTCATGTCAATTCTTCACATATGTTAAGACATCAAAATCAACACTGTACATTAAGTATCTTGAATAATAAGCTAGGTCAAAATGGATAGTCTAACTACTGGAAGGTAAAAATTTTAACTTTGTATTTCCTTAATAAAGCATTAACAAAATACTGTAATAAAACATGAATTCCACTAGACCACACCACATGATTTCCTCTACAAAATCATCAAAGAAGCTACTCTACATACATCCCAAGTTTATTGCCAAGATTAAGTGAAACTATACATCAAAGTGCTATGAAAATGATAAATAAACATGAATTATGATTGCTTCTACTGGAATATTTCAGTAGACTTCCTTCTGAAGCCATCTGTCATTCAATCCTTCAGAGGCAAGAAAACTATAGACTTAGGTTTCCTATCTAGAACTCTGGATCTTGTCAACTCCATCTGCTTCTTCCCTAGAAACTTATTCTAAACACTCCTCTTCGCCACAAACATTATTTTTCCTTTTCCTTCAAGCAATTCTTTCATCTTTTATCCCATTATCTAACCTCCCAAGTTCTCTCCCCCAAACACAAAATGTAAAATCAAACAAAAATAGCAAAGCAAGCAATATATAAAAATACGTAACTCCTCCTCCAGAGCACATTCAGTACATTTACTGAAAACTTCAGTTCCAAATTTTGTTCTATCTAAATACCATCTTTTCACTTCGGAGCTAAAAGCCCAAAGATCAACCTGATTTTATCCTATCTAGGTTTCTTGTAATATGTAACATGTCAAAGTGCATAAACATGCCTTAGAGTAAAAAGCAGTGTGTGTCAGGCCTGCCAGCTGCAATGTCTGAGAAACTTACCTCTAAAATCTTATCAAGGAAGGTTATAGCAGCACTATGATCTGAGTTCTTGAAAGCATCAAGTGCTTGGGAGCGCAAACGCTGCATTTCATCAGATTTCACAAGTTGCAACTGGGCTTCCTTTTCTTCATTTTCACTTGGGTTAGATTTGAGCTGTAAGAATGAGAAATTAACGAGAAATTTTTAATCTCTTAAATCTAATACGTGCAGTACACACCACTATCTGACCAGTGACCTGAAGTTCACTGGAGGCAAAGGGTAGAGAGACGCTGGCCACACCAGCTCCTCCCAGGACTTGCCGTGGGGCTGACCAGCAGGAGGGCATCTTTGCCTCCACTCGGGCGGACAGTACACAGGCGTGGGCTGGAAGCTGGGGGCAAAAGACCTGGGTCCCCCGAACCTGACCAGGAAGCAAACACATTTAGAAACTCGAAAGGGCAGAGAAGAACGAAGTATGGAGAGCTCTCGCCTCACTCTTAGGTATAGCTTGGCAGAGTCATGTGAGTTTCATGTATTCTGCCTTCTAGCTCTATTTCCTAAATATGTATTTTTAAGTATAATTTTACCAAAATAATGAAAAACAGGGAAACTGAGGAGAGGGCATGTTTTTTAGAGGTTATAGGACGAAGATTTGATACCAGAGAGGCTAAGGTGTAATGAGAAAGGAAGAATTTATGGGGAAAAATGAGAGAGTAATACCTTACATTAAAAAGACTTACAGTTTTAAGAGGTCTACACATTTCTCTTTTTTAATAACTTTATCAAGGTATAATTCATACCATAAAACTCATCCACTTTGAGTGTGCAATTCTGATTTTTAACATATTTAGCAAGTATGTACCCATTACCACGGTTTTAGACCATTTCTGTCAACCTTTTAAGATCCCTTGTGTCTGTTTATAGTTCATTCCTACTCCCAGACCGGCCTCAGGCACAGCGACTCTTAACAATTTCTTCCTCCAAATGGAAAATCTTAAGCTTCATGGCTTAGAAAAACTGGGTGCCTACATTAAAAAGCTCTGACTTGGGCAAAGGGGGACTTTTTTCCTGGCGATTATAGTTTATGTGTAATAATTCCTGAAATCAAATATTCTTACTAAAGATGGAAATTGTAGTTGATAGGTTCCTATTTTGGGTGAGGTACAGCCATTGGTAGATTGTTTCTAGAAATGTCTCTCCTTCAACTGACCAATCACACTGCTCCCCCTTTTAGCTAAAAAACACCCCCACCACTAGCTACCTGGTAGTAGAGAACACTCCAAATGAGAAACCTCAAGAATACCATTTCTGAGTAGAGGCTCTATATTTCTCCATTTTGTTTTTTGGATACTTTAGGTATTGTTTTGTCTGTTTAAACCACTGGCTTTTGACAGAATGGATAGGGCTCCAAGTATTCATAGGTAACTAGGAATTAACAACCTCAGCTTGCTCTGAGGAGGACTGTCCCTACGTGACTGAATTCCCCAGGTGAAGGGAGTTGCTGTAAGCCATGGCATGCTAACTTACAACTGTTCTGTCATCATCAGGATGGTCTCGAACACTTCTGGCAGACCACGTCGGAAGAAAGACAAATGTGTATGTCCTTTGCTCTAGGTAAAGGTAATTTATTGATTAACTTGTTTCCTATATGTACATTACTGCTCCTTTTTGAACAGAATACATTAGACTGTTTTAGAGACTGCCTCTTCTGGATGGGATTTGCATCCTTTTTTCCCTCAAACTTTAGAGTCTGATCTCTACCACACGATTTTCCTTGTTGGAAGGTGAGAGCAGGGAAAGCCCTAAAGCTTGAGGTTGAGGATGGAGGGCTCAACCTCACTCAGTGCTCAGACAACGGGAATGGGAAAGAGGGAGTGAGGTCAGGTCCTCTGGACCTCTTTGAGGATAGAGGGAGCTAGGAGAGAAGGAGGGGATTCTTGCAAGGAGGTAAGAAAGGAGTCTGAAAAACAAACTAAGGACTTATAACCCTGAGAAGTTTCAAAGTAAGTTAAGGGAGATGAACATTTTCACTCTTACTGCAGGTGGGGGACTCCTCCTAGGATATGTACATGTGGAGACTGGACCCTGCTAGCATTTCCCTTCCTCTTTTTTTCATGTTTCTTCATAACCCTTCTCTTCTTTAGTGTTTCATATTTCTGACCCTCTCAGACAAACCTCTACCTATGACATTAATTTATTTCTTATTTCTTACCATTTACTGTGATCACTGAGCTTCTGGATAAAAACCCGTAATAGCGGGCGCCTGGGTGGCTCAGATGGTTAAGTGTCTGCCTTCAGCTCAGGTCATGATCCCAGGGTCCTGGGATCGAGTCCCGCATCGGGCTCCCTGCTTGGCGGGAAGCCTGCTTCTCCCTCTGCTTCTCTCTCTCTCTCTCTGTGTCTCTCATGAATAAATAAATAAAATCTTAAAAAAAAAAACAAAAACCCGTAATAGCTATGGGATGGGGGTTTGTTAAAAGGGATGAGCCGCTCTCTAATCTAAATACACCCCTATTTCTGGGACTTCAAATGAAAACAATGGGTCGATAATTGTAGTGGGCAGACTTCTAAGATGGCCCCAAAAGACCCCCACCGCCTGGAATTCATACCTTTGTGTGATCCCCTCCCCTAGAGAATAGGATGGAGCTGGTAACTCCCTTTAACAAACAGAATATGAGAGAGGTGACAGGATGTCACTTCCTTAGTTAGGTACAAAACAATGTGACTTCCATCTGACTAGCACTCATTCTCTCTTGCTGGCAGTCTCTTGTCTTCTCACCTGCTCACCCGGATGAAGCAAGCCACCATGCTGTGAGATACTTTATGGAGAGGCCCACAAAAGAAAGAACCAAGGGAAGCCGCTGGCCGACACTCAGAAAAAGAGGCCTCAAGTCTAACTAACAGCTCAAGAGGAATTAAATCCTGCCTACAATGAAATGAGTTTGGAAGCAGTTCTTTCACCAGCCAAATCTTCAGATAATACTGCAAGCTTACCTGACACCTTGACTGTGGCCTAGGAGAGACCCCAAAGCAGAGCACCCAGCTCAACCCGCCCAGATTCCTGACCCCATGAGCCGTGTGTTGCTTTAAGCTGCTAACTTTGAGTAATCTGTTTAGCAGCAATAGATAATATAGTATTTTACTATTTTTCAATGGCTAGATTGTGAATATTGCCAAACAGATTTTGTGTTATTAATGTTTTAAAATAAAGTCTAAATGGGGGGAAAAAAAAAAAACACCTAAGCCCAAACCTTGATTTTATCACTTATTATCTGTATATTATTTACATTATCTTCACCAAAAAGGGGGGGGATAATAATGATGTGGGAAACAAAGGCAAAAGAAAAAATTAAATTTCCTTACTATTTATAGCCCATTGACAAGTCCTTGAAACAAGCAGAGTGACCTTCCTCCAGGAACTCACGTACCTCGATGTTGATACTTTGCTAAGGGCAAAAGGCAATCTTAGCCCAAGGCCCAGGATCCTGTGAGTCTACTTTAACATATAAAAATTCCTTTGGAAACTTCCTTTATCTCTACCTGAACCCCCCTCCCTGCCAAGATACATGTTAGCAATCATCCTCCAAGTATATGGCCCACTGATACATATCTGAAGAGTCTCATGACTAAGATTTTACTAGACAGTAATAAATGACCTTTTCCTAACAATGGCAAGCCCCCTCAAGGTCCTGGAAACCTTGTTTCCAAAATACCTTGGAAACCTTGTTTCCAAAATACTGTCCCTAACCCCCTCCCAACCTCAAAGTATATAATCAGAACCCCAGTGCAGCTTTCTGCCCATGGGTCCTATAGCCATGCTTTAATAATAACCACCTTTTGGGGCGCCTGGGTGACTCAGTTGGTTAAGCGACTGCCTTCGGCTCAGGTCATGATCCTGGAGTCCCGGGATCGAGTCCCGCATCGGGCTCCCTGCTTGGCAGGGAGTCTGCTTCTCCCTCTGACCCTCCTCCCTCTCATGCTCTCTGTCTCTCATTCTCTCTGTCTCAAATAAATAAATAAAATCTTAAAAACAAAAAAAAATAAATAAATAATAACCACCTTTTTTAAAGGACCAAGATGTCTCAAGAATTCTTTCTTGGCCATTGGCTCTGAACCCCAACATTTCCTACATCAATAATGCTTACACCCTGAGGAATAGTCACTGAGAAATTAAAAAGATACTTCATGCAACACATAGCAAGTACTCCAAAAAATGCTAATAAAAATTCCAAGCTCCTTTTTTGAACTTTCTATAGTATATAAATTGACAATGAGGACAGAATGCAATACTTTAAATGGCTAATCAATTTATTTCCCTCCCATTGCATTACATATCAGCCAACTTAAACTGGGTGCCCTCTATGAAGGTTTGCATAATTAAAGTCCCAGAATAGCACCTGGGTGGCTCAGCCGGTTGAGCATCTGACTCTAATGGTTTTGGCTCAGCTGTGATCTCAGGGTCGTGAGATCGAGCCCCACCTCGGGCTCTGTGCTCAGTGCAGACAGAGTCTGCTTGTCCCTCTCCCTCTGCTCTCCTCCACCCCTCTCTACCCCATGCACTCTCTCTCTCAAATAAATAAAATCTTAAGAAAAAAAAAGTCTCAGAATAGTAAGAGCTTAATTTGACTCAAG